CGTGGAAGTTTGTTGAGCAACCATTTTGAGTGGTAAAAAGTACTGAAAGGGCCGTAGCTACTGATACCTGAAATATCCTCATTAAACTCTGAGCGATAAATTAGAAGCCTGCAGGTCGTCTCTTACCACGTGAAAATCAATAGAAGGAAAATTTCAGAAGAATATCTAGCGAGCATACGTGGCTTTCGAGCCCCGGAAACTCCAGGATCTGTTTCGGAAGAACAGATATCCGGACAGATTCATCATAAAGAATATAATGGAGAAAGAAACAAAGTCCACCACACCCACTGTAGAAAAGGAAACTCTATTCCTCAAAGTCCCCTTTCAAGGGGACGCAGCAATCGAACTCCTAAGCAGAGGCCTCAACCAAGCCGTATCACGAACCTTTCCAGCAGTGAAAGTTCGGGTGTTATTCTCAACCAACCCGGTCCTGCACGGGAAAGGTAAGGATAGGCTGCCAGCTCATACCACTTCTGTGTGCATATACTTATTCATTTGCTCCTGTGGAGCAGGTTATATCGGTCACGCGATTCGGCGCCTATCAAAAAGAATACAAGGGCACCTCCCGGCATGGCTGGCCAAAGGTGAAGTCAAAAGCATCAACAGCTCTATCCTTGCCCATATGATTGAGTCCGGACCTCGTGTGGACCCCAGCGAAGCCTTTAAGGAAATTTACAAGGTCCCGCCAAACTACCCAAAGTCCCTATGTTAGCGTTTGCTAGCAACAGCAGAAGAAACCGCGATCCGGCTGCGGAAGCCGGTTCTGTGAGCGCAAACGAACCTTCTACAAGCCCGGAGCTTGGCATGGCCAACGGTTACGTAACTGCCTGCATCCTTCCGCGCTTTCTACCCTATCAACCCACCCTCCTCCCATATCCCCATGAATAAGTTGCCTGCAGTGATGAACATAATTACTAGCATGTTACTTTTCACCCCCTCCCTAAATAAATGTAATAGCCCGATGAGAATTTATCGAAAGCTACGTATGTTCGCCCGATATTCTTCTGAATTCTATGATGGGAATTTTCGCAACTTTAAAGAAGGAAAAACAGCTAATGCCTCTTGCAAGCGTACAACCAGCTATGAAGGAAATAAACTAGCGATGCCGCACGCTTTCCAGTAGGCAAAGGCGTGCACATAAACAAGATTGGAGTCAAATATTGTTCTGTCATCAGGACTAGTTCGGCCGACTTGTTGGTGCTCCAACCTGCTCCAACTGTTTACATGTATCAATTTTAAAAACCGTATATAGGCTGCTTCCAGGCAGTACAGGGTACGAGTTGTTCGTGCCCTAACAAATACTGGGCAGGATGTTTTGGGGTCAACAGAGTGACCCGCATCAACAGAGCGTTGCGTTATGGCTGAACGTGGAATTCTGTTTTCCTGTTCTAATAGCCATGTAGGCAAGTGCTCTTTGGATCGAGTTGTCAAGTGCCGTTGCGGTCACCCTATGTATTTGCCTCACCAAGTGCATGTAAATTCATAGACACGTGGTGAACCTAATTTTGCCTTGATAACATCCGGATCCCTGAGTTGCACATTTTCCTGCCTACCTTTCTGCCTTAAACGTTTTTCCCTACTTTGGCTTCCCACAGTGTTTTAACCTGCTTACACTATCAATAAGCCTTCCTGGCCATTTTCTATGATCTTGCTGTTCGCATCAATTTTTCTGTACGAATTCGATTTTTGCATTCTCCCATATGTTATTCATGTTATGCAGCGAGAGGCCGACGTTGAAGAGCACTCGCAAAATTTAGTGGTTCCGTTATCTTCGGCCTTCCATACAATCTTCAAATTTGCATCAAGGAAAAGATGCTTTGAATAACGATACTAGCTCTCTGGATATGATTTAGTCGCTATCAGCTGTCACCAATTTGCCCTCCAAGAAAACGCGAAAAACTCGAAATACCCCCATGCGGCCCAGTATGTATCAGAGTAAACATCTTACACTCGGTAGGCCTGTCTCAGATTTCCGGACTCGAACCGAGATTCAAAGAGGAGAAAAGGAGCACCAGACGAGTGTCCGCTCGCCTCGGTGTTGGAGAACGACGCCCTCTGCTGCCACTGTTTGAGACGCTGTTCCAGTGGAGCACTGAGTTCCGTATCAAACACGAGCAATGGTTTACTGGGCTGCGAGGAGAGGACAGTTGGTTGTGTGGTTGCATCAGTGAGGCTGTTTCTCCTGACCTCCATCAGACGCGAGAGTACCTGCTCTGGAAGACAAACAGAAACGAAAAGGACAGTTACTCTGAGTCTTCCATTTCAACCTGTGAGGAAGAGGATACCACAAAATTTTAGTAGTGATTCAAATCCAATCTGTCAAAAAGTTTCAACCAATAAAAAATTGGCAAAATCGGAAGTGTAATCGATTTTCGCAAACCGCCCTTCCTTGCGTAATTTTGTCTTTTTTAGTACAAGTCAACGAATCTATAGTACTAGCAAGGGAAAGAAAGGTCATGTGGATGGAATCATTCCTTAGAAAAAATAATTATGTTGTCTACTTCGTACTGTACTCAGGTTTGCATTACCGCCCTACAGCGCAGCGGAAGGAGACTTAATTGCCCTTAGGTCACCCAAATCCAGTAAAACACTGAATTATGGTGTTGCATGCCACATATCAGAAAGGTTTTAGGGGAACGGCTAGGCACAGGTTCACGCAGCTCTAACCACTAACGCTTGATCCCGCCTCTGATATTCTTGATACCGGACTCAGATAAGTGAGGTAGGGGGGAGTGCGGTAGATACAGCACAAGCCTACTATCATCATAAACTACTTTATCTATTACCTGTAATAGACTGTTACCGCGATATTTTCAGTACTGTCAGTGGAAGGGAAGGGTGAAGCTCGCATCTAGCATTTTTAGTAACCGCGAGTAGCTCAGTGCCTATTGCTTCAGATGTGATCATAACAACCGAAAGAAATGTCTGAGACAAATTGCTGCTACGCCGCGGGAGGGCTTCAAGCGTGTACCGCCGTCCCCCTGCTCTCCTTAGGAGTGAGTTCATTGCTGAACCAAAAAAAACGGTTGAAGCAACGGTCGTCAGAGCCGGCCATAAAACTTACGTTGCCTCGCGAGGGAGTAGGAACTGACATCCGGTTTGCCGGAGTCCCGCAGCTTGTAACCCCGTATCCTCGGCGCTGGCATCAGAGGCCCTCGTCCCAGCGGCCAGAAGGGACCATTGATGTTTCGCACAACACCCCACCGATCGAGAAAGGTGGTGTTGGCCGAGTTCTCGAGAGTGCAGGCCAGACTTTC